TGGAATGCAGAAAGAGCTTTTATCTATAGGAGAGATTTTAGCAGACTACGTTTGTCTGGGGTTTTGATGTTTTTTTTAAGATGAAGAAGAAAAAGTGAGAGATTAGATCTGTTCAGGAAAATGTCAACTAAGGATCATCTTTCCTGGTATATGCCCTTCTTCATTTCCAGCTTGACTTAAAATTGATTTTCATTTACTTTCCTAATGCACAATGGGAAAGGCATCATTTTTTTTTGTCTCTCTGGAGTGTCTATCCCCAGATGCTAGCAGAGGTGCACTGTACGTTTTCCGCATTCACATATGCAGTATACAATCCTGTGGTGCACTGTAGTGGCATAAAGATACTGCCAAGGCAAACGACTTAACATGTTACAGATGTGAGAGACAAAACAAGTGTTTTACTTCATCCTAATGGAGAACTGGAGTCCAGAGATGACCTGACCAAGGTCACTCCAGAGGTCTGCAGCAGAGCTGGGATGTGAGCTGAGCTGCAGGTTCTCATGCTGGTTTAACTCTCAGCTGACCTGACCCATCTTCTGGACCTTGGCTAGTAACCATACAGGCTGCTACTTTGAAGAAACTCAGCTAAAGAAATGTGATTTTTTAAACTGAGAAAGCAGTTGTTTTTTTTTCTCTCCTCTTTGCTGCATTTTAAGGTGCTCTGGATGTAACCACCTTGGGCTTTTCAATCTAGTTCTTGTGGACCATTCACGGAAAGGAAAACTACACCAAGAACGTTTGAGCATCTCAGGGAGGTGAACAGTTGTAATGGGCACTACTGTGCTTAAAATAAAGGCTCAAACAGATTCCTCATAAATCCTGCTTTAAAACATTGTGTATCAATTTCTTACTAGTGTTTGCCCTTCTGCTGACTATCTAGAAAATAAAATACAGAAGTGCAACAGAATACAGAAGCGCTAAGCTACAGATTTATGAAACTGTTGCATTTTAAACTTCAGTAGAGAGTTATGTTTTCTTTTATTGTCTTAGAAAACATGTTTTTCCCTAATTGGTCAAAATGGGATTAGTAGCTATGAAAGCCATGCACATTACAAAGTCTTCTGGGAGCTTACAAAATGCAGATATTTTCACACGTTTTGGTGGAACCCCAGCTCATGCAGCTTTTCATGGTACAAACTAACAAGGAGCTGGAGAAATATGAACACAAAGACCTTCCACAGTCTTTTGTAGTTTTTGAACAGTGAAGCCTGTCCCTCCCTCTGCCTTCTGTGCCATTGTAAAAGACTCTGGACAATCCCCCACGAGCCCTTGCCATGGTCCTCTCCTGCCATCTATGGCTGCTGCTTGGAGTGGAGAAGACGTCAGTCATAGGATCAGAGGGCAGTTCAGGTGGGAAGACAGATTAGGCTCCTGCAGTACCCCACTTTTTACTGGCCTCCATACAACCCATTAACTGTTACCCACTAAACATGATCATTCAACCAGTTTCTCACTCATCCCAGCCATAAAGTTCTCATTTGGAAGCAAGAATACTGTAGGAGACCATGTTGAAAGCCTTCCTGAAGCCAAGGCAAATAACAACCACTTCTCTCCCTTCGCCCACAAATCCAATTTCTTTATGATAGAAGGCAGCCAGGTTGGTCAGGTGTGACTGATTCTTGGTGAACCCATACAGACTGTCCCCAGTCACCTTCACTTCCTTCTCTGCTGCTGTGAAGGGGTGTCATGAAATGCAGATGTCTCCTCCTGAGCTGAAGTGTCACCAGGGACTGTGTCAACCCCACAGGGCATAATGGATCTCTCTGTACCCTGGAAGTCTCCTGGGCCCACCTGCCTCTTCCTTCCCACGTGGTGGGTCTCTCCTGGAGTGGGCAGACTGTTGCAGGGCATGGGTTGCTCAAGGTGCACCAGCTTGTGCAGTTTTACAAAGCAGCCTGTGCTCAGCAGGGAGCACAGAAGCTGACCAGCACCTTTCAAAACTGTGTGATTTAAACCCTGTAACCATACATACTTAAATGCACAGTCTCCTTTTTCCTAAGCTAATTGTGACCTGCATTTCATCACGAGCTTCTTTTGGTCAGGAGGAGGTGACTCTGATGAGTTGGTCTTGTAATCACTGACTCCTCATGTCAACTTGAAGATGAGGAGCTTAGAAACCTGGCTGCTTGAGATGATCCCTGCTCACCTCCTGTCAATGAAGATATGAGTAGGACTTTGTAATTCCCAGAGCACATTCCACTGTGGCATGTTTCAAACAGTAATGGATGGAGGCTCCTGCTTGGTCCACAGCAATAGGCACCATTACTCCCAATCTGGAGCCCAAAGCAGAGACATGGAATAAATTGATCTAGATCAAGGAAAGAGTGTGAGGCAGGGTCAGGAAGAGAACTGGCAGTGTCTGGCTCCTTGCCATACACAACTTGTGGGCGTCCTTCCACAGGGATATTTCACCTGCGCATGTCTTATTTCACTCAGACTACTGAGGGACTCTGACATAAGTCAAAAATTCCCTGGTGTATGCTCACAAATTTTGGAGCAATTTATATCCATAGCAATAAAAGCTGTATGATGTTTATTTTGCAGGGCTCTTTTAATACACTGTTTGGTTTTTTTGATAGTCTGTGTCTTCTTCATATTGTAATCATATTAAAAGAGCATTCTTTTCCTGGAATAAAGAGGTAATGATTCACAAGAGGCGTAATTATTCCATGCGGTGCAGGCAGGATGCTGCAGAAAAAGCTGTCTTCTTTATGCGTAAGAGGCTTTTATTGCAAGTGTTCTACACAGTAATTAAATTCTTTGAATGAGGAGGCTTGATTGGATTTTCTTTGGTTTATTGGGAGGAGTCTGAAAAGCAAGGTATTTAGCTCAATTGCTATACAATTTTGGCATCTGTCGGAGGTTAGGGAGAAAGGTTCAGCGTCTGATTCCCATTTCTCTTATGCTAGTGTTACAGTAGCTGAACTCCACTGAAGTCAATTGAATTACTCCCTATCTGTATTTGTGTGAGAATTGGGCTCAAAAAACCTTAGCAGAAAGCAGCAGGATACCTGAATGCATGCTGTAAGTATCCAAATTATCTAAGGGAAAAAAAAAGTGCTAAAGGAAAGTTACTCGCAGTTGCAAAGGCAAGTGCCCAAAGCAAGGAAACTTCACATTTACAGCTGTCCTTCTGGTCTGATGTTTGGCTTATGGCAAGCCCAGCCTTGGCCCAGAATGGGAAAAAGTTTCAAGACAACAGCAAGAAAATGGGAAGTAAGGCAATTGTATAATAAAAATCTGTGCTGTGGCTTGACACACAAGCCAGGATGCTGGCATGGCACAAATCTTGAGTATTTGAGTTGTCAAACTAAATCATGTTTGTTTAACATCAACTTCTGTACACAGCTGCCAAGGGATTTTTTCTTCAAAGGAAAAGACTAAAACGTAAATTAAAAGGAAAACTATTATACACAGTCTCAACATCTATTAGCAATGGGGTTTGGATCTTGTAACATAAATTACAGCATAAATTCTTCCTGTTACTCAATAAGGCTGCCCAATACGTCAGGAGGATAATGGTGCTCAGGCAGGGAAGGAGATGTGTAACACCACAGGGGTAATTTCACCCTGCTCAGATGTCTCTGGAAGGCGACTACGCATGATGAGGAAAGTGGCATTTTCAAGAGCTCAAAAAATGTCATGGGGCAACGGGAAGCACTTTTCTAACCTATGGGGTCCCTGCCTACCAGATGTTTGCACCTTGTTTTGCGCAGTGACAGTGGGAATCTCTGAAGTGCAGGTTGCCAGTATTTGCAGGGTTTACGTGAAGGTTTGGATCTCAGAGAGGTTTCCAGGGGCTCTGCTTGTATCCTGTGGTGATGGTGATCATGGTGGTGGTGGAGAGGGTCCTGGGGCTGGGTGAGGGGAGGGATGGTTTTCTGGGGAGAACAGCAGCGGGAATGAGGAGGATGAAGATCTTTCTTTGACTGTGTTTTGTGAAGACAAAAAAAGCAACTAGGAAGGAGCTTGGATATCAAGGCTTGTTTGGATGAGACTGAGACTGTACAGAAGAGTACGATGACACAGACATAGGGGTCTCAGTCCACAAAGCAAAACAAGATGGATCTGGACCTAGGTCTGAGGGGAATTGGCAAAAAAGCTTTTATACTGCAAAACCTGGGGTTAGACCTGCCTCAAGCCCATGCATTAGACTGCCAAGCAATGGGGAATATAGGTCTCTAAAACAGTGCAAAACTGGGAGTCTGAAAAGCAAAGTATTTAGCTCCTACACAGTCTGCAAAGTGCAACGCAGAGGAGAGGAACTGGAGCAATGATTTGCAGTTGACTATGATGCCATCACACATGTCTGAACAGGAGCTGAGTCTGAGTGACTCACTCACACATCTCTGCCCATGATAAACCTTGGGTATGCTCATCAGCCATCAAGCCTCTTCTCCTTGTGGGATATCAGGTCTGATGGATGTCTGTAGCTGAAGATATTTTCTGATTAATTTTGGCAATTGCAGCCAGAAAGCTTTGGTTTATTACCTTCACTCCCTCCTATTGACTGCTAGGCATTATGAACCCAACAAACTCCCTGTCCTGTTGTCCTCCTCTGCCTTCTTCCTTTCAACTTCCATGGGTTTAAATGAAAGACAGAGCAAAAAATAGCTGCACAGTCCTCCAGACTCGGTGGTATTCGGGGAGCACCATGAGGCAAATGGGACCTGCCAATCAGTGTCCTTGTACTTTACAGAGAATATTGCCATGAGCTGACAGATGAGTCACATCAAGCCATAGTAGTACCCCTGTTGTGATCCTACTGATTTTTGACTGGCTGTGCTTCCCTTTGTTATTTATTAATTTTCAGTAAGGATCCCTCCCAGAGCTAGCTGTCTGTACTGAAAGTTGAAAATGGAATTAAGCTTTTTGCCCAAAAAAATCAAAAAAAAAAGGACATTTTGGCAAATACATAAATAATCTTTTTTATGCAGAGACTTAATTAAAATTGGTTCTGTTTTACTGATGTTTCTTTTGTGTCTTGGCTTCCTGAGCAGAAACATTCACACCTGAGGACTATGTGGCTGATCCTGCAAACCTGAAGCGGTATAGTGTGGATCCTGCCGATTCTGCCTTCAGTTGCATGGGCTCCATGTATTCTATGCGGCAGAGTCCTGCAGATGGACGTCCTGCTGGAGGCTCCTCTTCCTCCTGTAGCCATCGTCCTGCCCAGATGTCTTCAGGGGGGTCCTCATCTACTGGCCTGCATCATCAAACCTCCAGCCCAACAAGGAATGGGACCTATCTTGAAGGAAACAGAAGTGGTAATATCATATCTTCAATTTAACAATGTGTGTTGCTATATTGATGCCATGCTGGAGTCTTAACTCACTCCCAGATTCCACAAGAAAATTAGTGAGGTGGGTTTGGGTTGACATCCATCCAGAACACTCACATTTCCATTTAGAAGGAGAAATAATAACCTGTGTAAACACAAAATCAATCTGTTCATCACTGAGTAAAAAGGAGAATGTTTTCTAATGCTGTTATTGTGTAAACATATATTACGTATAATTGTGTGGCAATCACAACTGTTATTATCAATTTGCAGACATAAATATTAATATATAAGGCATTCCTCCCAAAGATTGATACTGCCTACAGACAGGTACCTGTTATTTGTGTGACACCAACTGTGTAGAAGATACGATGCCAAGCAAATCCAAATGTTAGTTCTCACCTCAAAGCATTTTAGCAAAAGGGTTTCTTTTGCTTGAAAAAGACTGCCCAGAAAAAAATGTATTTTTAGAAATCATCCAGCTCACTGCTCAAGGCTCTTTTATCCCTCAGGAAGCAAAGTCACAAGAAGTTTATCTGCAAATTCAAGGGATGCCGTGGGAATCCCTGCATTCAACAACCCTTCTTCCCTCCCTTTGTATATTTGTCCATAAATCTGTAGGATTTATGTTTGCTGGGTCAATCACAGTGACCATTAGCTATATTCGTTATTAGCCATGATATTTTCTTTTTTCTTCTCTAGGAATGTCCTGGATCATCAAACACGTTAGCTAATTCCCTGGACTTCTGTTAACTTTGTCTCTGTTTGCATTTTCCAAGTTCTCCATTAACAGGTCTTTATCAGTAGTGATTCCAACAGTGTCTTCACCCCTTACTAATTATTCAAACCTCATTCATGCATTTTTCATCTTCAAGACAGATCTAACAAAGGAGTTGAATATCTCAGCCGTTTTTAAGTCATTAATTTCTGTGCCTTCCTCATTTATTAATAGAATCTACTGTCACTCTGGTTTTACTTTTTTTAATCTTGATATATTTGCAGAAGTCTTGCTGGTTCCCCCAGCCCCTTTGTCTGCCATCACCTCATTACACTGTCCTTCTACCATTGCATTTCCCCTGGAAACTGCAAGTGATTCTGCATATTCTTGCTTGGTAGCCACTCCAGAACCTCTTTCCAGTAGCTGCAGATCTTTGCTTAATTCCTTCACATCCCTCACCTCCCCAGTGTCTCTATTATTTCTTGTTCCCAGACATTCACTAATTAATATTTTAGAACATTATTCATCAAAATTGTGTATTGCCAGTATTTATCCTTGCATTTCTTTGTTTGCCTATGTTTGCCTTCTTAAATGTTCAATACCTACCCAAACCCATTATTCACTTTGCTATTGTTTTTGCACACTTGTTTCCCTGTTTTACCCCTGTGTTACTCTATTATACAGAACACAGATAGGTGTTGGGCTCTCATAATACTTTTTTCCTTTACTTACCATCAACTTAAAGCAAAGTGGATAGTATAGAGTAGATAGTACAGAATTGCACTACCGCAAACAACTTGGAAAAGGTTGTCACTAAGAACTGGTAGCCTAAAGTACAAAGAGGAGGAAATGAAAAGCCACTTTCTTTCAGATCTTGTTCAGTGCCTCTCAGGCTGGCGTAATCAGGTACTGGGAGTACAAAGAGGCTTGCTGTGCACAGGATTCATTTTCCCTTCTTCCACTGCTTCCTCTGAGCCTCCTATCAGAACTGGGACCCTCTCGTCAAGTGTTTTAGTTGGCAGCTGCAAGGAGCCAAGATTTTACAATGTTGTTACTTGCTCACTTTGAAAATCTGTCTTACTCTGCTTGGGATCAGTCATTACCTCTTTGCAGTACGTACAAAGGGTCAGAGCAGTTCAGAGCAAAGGTCTGTCTAGCCATGCATCCTGTCTCCAGCATGAGACAGCAGCACACCCCAGGAAAGAGGTAAGTGCGGAGATGGTGGTACTTCCCCGCTACCCAATCCACCTTCAGATATCTGTGGTTCAAGGACTTCCTGAAACAGAGGTGGTGGATTCATATTTAGCAACCCTTCATAGATTTTTCTTCCCTGAGTCACTCAGTGGTTTATTGAATACTTTTTACATTTTCAGCATCCACAAAATGCCCGTGCTTAAGAACGTGTCATGTGGAGAAAAGGCTTGGTATCAAGGGTTTGAAAGTTTAAAATCAGAACCCCTTGAGCTTGCTCAGCTGCATTACATTCCCTTCTTGCTTCCGACTTAGAATGTCATTGTTCCCCAGCCTCAGCCGATGTCTTGTGAAAGCTCATTATGGTCCTGAGCAAGAACCTAAGTTTCAGGAAACAGCTCCATCTCTCTTATCATGGCTTCCAACAAAATTTGCAGTTTTCACAAAATAAAAGCCTAAAAGATGGCATGTCCTTTTTCCAGAATTGAACCAACACAGAAGTCATAGAATGTCCATGCAATAGACTTTGCAGGTTCCTATATTTCTCTAGCTTAAAACATATTAAAGCACTTTGAGGAGGAAAGGAGAAGAGATTGATTTTGCTTTTGAACGAGATATCCATGACATGTGGGTGTTTCTGAAACGGTTACAAGTGAATTTAAGCTGTTACATACAGTTTGGGGTAACAGGACTTATCCCAAAACTGCTTAGTATTTTTTATGTGACAAGCATTTGACACTTGTATAGACTAGCTCCTCTGGGACCTCTGGGTTATTTAGCCATCTCAACGGTAAAGAATCCCTAAAACTGACAGTTACGCAGTGAACATCATGAAAATGGTTATGAATTCTTTGATATTGCTTATTTATACTTATTATCAATTTATTAGTCCCAGTTATCATCCATTGTTGATTAGGGTCTGCCACAGAAGTACATGCAAATGCATTTTGGTTCACTGTCAAGGTATCTAACAGGGAGAATAGCAACCCCCTGTGCCCCACCAATGTAGAGCAGCACAGAAAGTTAGCATGCTGTTGTGACACCACCACCATCCATCACATTTCCTCTGACCCACTCGACTGCTTTCTGGAGACTCCAGCAGAGATTCTCCTGCATTCCATGGCAGGATTTGGGTCCTCGGAGGCAGAGAAGAGGCATTTACTCTTGGACACAGCCAGACAGTTTTCAGGGGCTGTGATGGGCAACACAGTAACATCCATGACATTGAGGTGCCCACAGATTCATTGCGATATCACTTCTAGCATTAAAGAAACCGTGCTGTTTCCAATCACAGCCTGGTTTCATCTCCAACTCCATTTGCAATAACATCATCTCTGTAACACTGGAATTCCCACATCAGAGTCCTACAAAGCATTGCCTGCTCCTCCTTAAAATTAGGCCCCCTGTTTCTGCACTGCTATCAATTCTTTCACCCACCATGCTGCTTCCACTTTTACTAGCAACCCAGACTTTTAAAAATACATATCCTTCTGGCCTTAGTGCAGCCACACTGAAGTTTGATTGCTGGCTTTGCAAAAATCTGTCTTGCAAAGGTCTTTGGAATCTGTGCTCTCACTACAATGTTTCTGTTTTTCCTCTTTCTATGGATAATTTATATGCTGCTGAATCATAAGTAAGTAAGGATGAGTAAGTGGTGCATGCCAGTATCTGTTCTTAGCTTTCTCAGTTTGCATACTTACAAGGCAGGGATGGGCAGGACTCCTTAAAAAGAGGAAGAATTTCTCTCTGAAACCTCAAACCAATCCTCTTCATTTATGGACAGTTTTGGAAAACAGCTTGCCTTATTTATCATGGTGGGCAAATATAATGGAAAAAACCATAACCATAAAACATATCTCAGTGCATAGCAGAACATGTCTTTCAAGCGGAATGGATGAGATTAAACCTCAAAGCTCTCATTAATGCAATCAGAAGCTTGATGCCTAATTCTCCATGATTATGCTAAAAAATTCTGGAAAAAAAAAAAATCTCATTTCAGAAAGCCAGTTGGGGCTGCTAACAGATAAACATGCACTTTCCTGTCATCATTTGCCAAATTGAAGCTCTTAAATCAGGGAAGGAATAGTCAAGGACATCATAAACCTTTCCAAGCCTCCTTACATAACAAACAAAGCCTTTATTCCAACTAAGAAGAATTGTGTGTTCAACCATAATGTAATAACCTTAGCCTTGCCCTGTAGCTTGTTATTTTAATGTAGATTTTATTATCCAATATTATCAGTTAATTATTATCACCTGAGGGCCTTTGTTAAAGAGGCAATCCTGCTTGCTAATACATTTATTTCCTCTAAACATTTATGGGTGCAGGGTTTGAAGTTTCCCTTCTTTCAGAATAATGCTGAAAGCACCCTGCGGGTGCCAGATCCACCACCTCCCCAGGGCACTGGCAGAGGAGCTGCTGACGGCATTGCAGGGCTCGGTGCTGGGTGCCACATCTTTGGCAAACACAGCATGATCATTAATTTTTTAGGACATTTACAGCCTGAAAGTTTCGATGCTTTCAGTGAGTTGCTTGCTTTTGGTTTTGCTTTGTTTTTTTTCTTCGTTTTTTTTTTTGTTGATTGTTTGGGTGTTTTTCTCCTTTTTTCTTTTTCTTTTTTTCCCCCTGCAAAAGAGAGGCAAAACAAGAAAAAACAAAATAAATATTTAATGCCAGCCCATGGCCACATCTCATGTAGCAGGGTGATGCTCTCACACCACGTGTACAGTGCCAGCAGCATGAGCAGTCGCTTTGTTGGTGGGACAAAAGCTCTGCTTGGTGGTGCATGGCATCTCCTACAAGTGCTTGCCCGTGCAAATTGATGTGCTAAGCCCAATCTTTTTCTCAGACCTCAACATTTCCTGCATCATGAATATCCAGTAATTGTGTTCTTCCTCACACCTGCTTTTCTGAAGCCTGTCCTCTTCTCCTGTTTGGTGTGCCATAGCCTTTATGAAAGTGTCTTCTGCTGTGAAGTCTTACTCCTGTCTTTGTTTATAGTGGGAGGTGATTTTGAAATTGTTTTGAAAACAATTCCCATTTCTCTACGCCTTTGAGGGTCTGCTACTTCTGCTTAGTTTCAGAAGATCTGCTGCTCCTTATTACCCGCTTCAGTGCAATCAGAGAGCCTTTTAAAATTTCATTCCCACCCCCTTCCCCTGAGGCAAAGAAATCATTTAGGCCTGCAGCAATATTAAAGTTCATCTGTCACTCCCTTTCCACTCTTATCTATCAATGACCATACTCCCTCTGGGCTCTGTTTGCCAAGAACATGTTTAGGGAGTCTGTTATTTATCTTTCCTTCTTTTGCAGATTTAGCTCCATTTTAGCATTGGATCTCCTTGTCATGCCTCTGCAGCCATTCAGCTGTTGACTTTCTCCTTCTCCATTCTCCTGCTCAGGAAGAGGTGAGGGGCAGAGAAAAGTCTGTGTGGGGTTATAACTTAGACCAAGCCACATCCTTCCATTGGCTTTGCAGGGCTTTAGCCACAGACCTGGTATCTCCAGTCATTTCTGCATAGGCAATGGTCTTGACTGAGATGCATGGAGACCTTCCCCTGCAGAGGAACCTCTGCCCTCTCCTTCCTGACACAGCTTCACAGAGGAGGGGGAAGTGCTTCCCTCTGATTACCTAAATTTCCATATCCCGTTCCATTAATTTGAAAAATTTTTGCCACCTGTCAAAAACAGGAAATTGGATTTGACCTAGATTATGGTCTCTAAAAATAATTATTGGTCGTGAGCACTCCCATCTCTTTGTAATCTGAGTATTCATTATCATCTTGATTAATTCTGATGACAGGATGGCATAGGATACCCGGGAGACATAAGAATTCCTCATTTATCTACTTCTTAGGTTGAGTGTGAATACCTTCAGATAAGAAAAAATGTATAGTACTTGCCCTGCTGCCATCAAACACTTTCATGCTTAATATAATCTTCCAGCAAAGTGATGCTATTGAAACAAACCCTATGCCTTTGTATAGAAGTGAAATGATTCATTTTCCTTCATAAACAGAGAAATTACACTTAGATATGTAAACTACGATGTTAAAAAGTCAAGCAAATTAAACAGTAAAATACATTTTAAGAGATACAGAAAAACAGATTGTTTCCAGACTTCCCAGCTACAAACTGTGTTCCAGGTAGTTGTCTGCAAATCAGTGGTATCCCCATTTTGCTAACAACATTTAAATGTAGCCCTTACACACAACTCAAATAACACATCTTAATTTATTAAAAAAACCAGCAGAGTATCCAGGACTTGTCTCTAGGCAGGTAAATAAAGATGAAACAACCTTTGAAGAGTTAGTATCCACACACAATTCTTGTTTTTATATTATTATATTATAGCTTTGGTAGGGATTTGAGAGGATTATCTTCACCTGCTAAAGCCTGGCAGAGTTCTAGTCATGCAATTTCTTTAGAAAGGTCATTTATATATTTGTCTTTAAAAAAATCAGATTTCTTCTATTGATTGCTAGATTGCAAAGGACTGAATAGAATTCCCCTGTTATTTCAACCTCTTCTTCTCATCCCCTCTTCCTTTCATTATAGATACTTCCAATACCTGTGAAAGCTTCCAACTGCTCTCAAGGCTTTTTATTCCCCTTTGCCCTTTCTTGGCATTTCTGGAAGCAGCAGGTTGCAGGCAGGAGTCACTGGTCTGGGGGCTGATCTCTCTGCATGCGGTGTGAATTCCAGGCTAAGCCCCCTGGGCTTTCCTTACATTCATACAGATTTAAGGGAAAAATTGTGATCCTCAGTAGTGGCAAAACATCCGCCCCAACCATGTTACGACAGTAACATAGAAACTTCTGCAATCCTTTGGGCACAACCAAACCTTTCTCTCCCCGACTCTACTTTCAGCTGCTTTGTGAAAGCCTAGTGTTCTCCCTAACCTTGACTTTGAGGTACTGAGGTGCCCAATATCTCCACACAACAGCTGGCATCCAGACCATTGGCAGAGCAGGTAGGGGAGAAATATTCGCCCCTCTGCCTCCAAGACAAGTCTCAGTTCTCCCACTTGTCCCTGAGAAAGTTACTCGATGTTACTGATGATCCAGGGCTTGGCCAAGATTACCCTGCTCGTTTTGCATTCTTTGTCTTCATCATTTCATGCCAAAAGCTCCAGATGGTGTCTGTACCATTGTGTATTGCATTTATTCTGTGAGCGGAGCCCAGGGTCGCCTGAGTCCATACGAACACCAATCCTCGCTGTCTAATTAAGAGGACCTGCGGCTATTCCTTGTCCTTTATATCCAGAACAGTGACTTAGCAAATGAGAGTGTAATTATCATGATATTTACATCACATCCCATTATGAAGCCCATCGACCAGATCTGCACATTCATAGCACTGCTGCCTGTTGGAGTTCATCCTTTGTAATTGCAAAATATACCTTATTGCATTATACCATGCAATAAGCATGGTGGCAAGAAAAAAAAGGGCCAATATGCACATAGAGCCATTATTTGGCATTTATAGGCAGAGTCAGAGCTAATATAAATCAGCACAGCTCTACTGAAGTCAATGGAATGACAATCTACATAAGCCACAAACCCAGCCCACTACATTTGATCTCACACATTAGGATTGTGTTTTGAGTCACTCATGGGGATTCTCATACATTTCATTTGTCTGTATAAGACCAATATTTCTCTGGAGAGCTCAGCCCTTCTCTCCTCAGCAGCTCTGATTGCCTTCTTGGCTACCTGGGGCTTCTCCAGGCTCCAGTTTAGGTATCTGTGTTCTCTCTCTACTTGCATTCTTTGGTTTCCTTTTTTGTCTTCTGTAATGTCTGCTTGCCTACCATTTGCAACTCTCTCCTTAAAAATTGGGCCTTAATAGAAAGAAAGAAGCAGGTCTAGACAAGTAAAATTTTATACTTCTATGTGCTGCCACCTACTAATGCAAAGTTTGCTTGGTGTGGATATAAACAAATTTAAACAGCTCTCCTGTAACCTAGCATAATACAGTTCTTGTAATAGTGAAGCAGCATCAGTGGGGTGCAAATTATATTCACGTGGAGGCCGAGATTTATAAATCTGCAGAGACATAAATGCAATAAAAACATAAATGCACTTTCATTCCAATGTGCCTTTATTCACTTGATTTAAAGCTACAGCAAGCCGAAGTGACCTTAAATCATCCAGGGCTTATACCATTAAAAAGTCACATCTGCAATGCACATCTTCACGTGTTTTAGTAGCTTTCCAAATAGGCATTCACTGGGGACCATCAGCTTCATGAGAGTGTAAGATTAGGTGTATATGGACTAGAAACCATCCTTTAAGCAATAAGTCTGAATATCTGAATGCACAGAAAAAAACTGTTTGCTAAATCCTGGTTTTATCCTCTAGCCTTCATATTCAATGGCAAACTTCTTTGTTTAGTGCTGAAGCACTTTCTCTCCAGGTGGGAGGGTGGTGTCTTCTTGAGCCAAGATCCCTGCTGCTTGCAGATCAGACAGCAGGGCAGCTCCGTTTAAGAGCCTGGCAGCTGGCACATTTTCCCTTCCCCAGCAGGAACCTGAGGATTTCATGTTTTTTAACGCAATTCACCAGCTGGGATCGTGTCTCCTGATAAGCAGTCGGAATGGAAACTGCTCCAAGTCCCCTTCTGTCCCCATCTCGGGCTGATACTTGCACGCACAGTTCCAACGTCCAATGCTGCAGTGAGGCTGACTTACCCCTGCACACTCATGAACCAAGGAAACTGCTGTGCGCTATTGTAATGCATTGTTGTGGGCTTTTTTCTACCGATAGCCTCAAGTCCTTCACCAGAACAGCAAGACGCAACTCGGCCATCAAGCAAGAATCCCTTGACCTGGACAGTGGATGACGTGGTTTGGTTTGTGAAGGATGCAGATCCTCATGCTTTAGGTCCTCACGTGGAGCTCTTCAGAAAACATGTACGTAGAAGGCTGTTCTTACTACTTCTGGGTAATTTAAGCCAAGTACATGGCCAGTCCCAAGAGATAGCCAGTACATGTCACACACACCCCCTCAGCTGACTTTGGCTGCTATAGGCAGTGTTTGTGTTTAGACAGGTTGAAGACAGGGCCCTTCAAGGACTTCTGCACTACAAGAGGGTTTTGGGCTGACAAAATACTACTTACCACTTGAGAAGGTGTTCAAACACTGGAACATGCTTCCTGGGGAGGTGGTTGATGTCCCAAGCCTGTCAGTGCTTGGCATTTAGATAATGCCCTTTTAATAACATGCGTTACGTTTTGGTCAGCCCTGAAGTGGTCAGGCATTTGGACCAGATGATCACTGTTGGTCCCTTCCAACTATTCTGTTCTGTTCTGTTCCGTTCCATTCTATGCTATTTATTCTTTAATGGGGGGACCCTAACAATGTCTTTAGGAAAAGCTCACTATGTGTTCCCAACTACATCAGTTTCTATGCTAAGCCCAAGAGAAAGTGCTGGGGATCTGCTCATTTTTCATTGTCAGATTGGCACAAAAAAGCCTCATCTCAATGACATTTTTTTTCCCAGGATACCTATGATTCTTCTCTGAAGAGCATTTTTTATGTGTCTCCAGATACTTAGCAGGAGAAACCCCAAACAGCTAAGCTTTTAATCTTTTTCCCCTCAGTATTATGTAACTACATAACCAAATTTAACAGACCTACTGACTCACTGGAGAATATGATGATTGGTTTTGCTAGGCAGTCTCCAGTGGTGGAAATGATATTATCCTTAACTGATAAAGGGGAAGACTGTAAACAGACACATGATCTAGAGTTTCTTGTTCTGCTGCTGTACCTGGAGTTGGCATCATTGTGTCTAATAGCAGCTTCAGCTTCCTCCTCCATCTCCCTTGATCAATTCAGTCTGGCTATGAAAATTAATTTTACCCTAAAAAGGACTTGCTTGTGTTCAGCTGGAGGTCATAACTTTGGATTGTAAATGCCTCGACCTAGGTCTAATGAGAAGAACTCCTTAGCCCTGAGTCCTGAGCAGCACCTCAGCTTACAAAGCAAGCGAGAGGGCTCGATCACCAGGTCCATGAGCAGTCCTTGCTCATGTGCCAGCAGGAACAGGTGGGAATGCAGGCTGTGAACAAGAGCTGAGGGCGACAACCGGTGGACTTCCAGTTACATCCTGGGTGCAGGGTTTCCACATACTGAGAAGAGGAGGTAGCTGAGGAGCAAATGAAAACAAAGATGAACACAGGCTTGGTTGTCTGCTCACCCTAAGCAGGTCTTGAAGACATCTTTCATTCTTTAGACAGGCCAGTGGGATGAAAACAACAGAGCAGGCAATGCATAGCGGTGCTAGGACCAGATCTGCAATTACAGGTCAGATGCCAGCCTACTTTCCCTGCTCTCTGCAGAGAAGTCAGATCTGCCTTGTAAGCTGATAATGAAAACATGATCTATATTGGCCATGTGGGTAACCAGGCAGATAAACAAGCCACCTTCAGATTTAAAGGAACTTGCGTTAAACTCATGAGTTTTTGAGACTATCAGAAGGGTCTGTACATCAAGAAAAAACTTCATTCAAGAGAGAGAGAATTGCCATGATCTGAGGCATATAGGTACATCCCAAAGAAAATAAACATTTAAAGTTGAGCTTGTTAATATGAACAATGCAAAAGCACCATTTTTTACTAGTGTCCAGTTGTAGAAAAGGACAGCACAGCATGCTTCTATCTAGCAACAGGGCAGTGACATGCCCCACGCAGCCATGGACCAACTGCACTTGAGTATGCCACTATACTACAGCTGCTCTGTGACCAAAGAGATCAAGCTAAATTGCCACTAAAGACTGTCCCTGTCATCCTTTGTTGAACACCAAGCACCCATGGCCTCTACTTATCATCAGTTTCCTTGTAAAATATGCCATAGGTGTAAGATCCTGGGTAAGAATACCACACAACTCAATTCAATTACGCCTTTGAGTTATATATGTCCCTGCAATTTTTCAGCCTTCAAATCTCATCTGGATTAGCATGGAGACCCCAGGGGTGAGAGACAAGTGATTAGTCCATTAACCTTAGCCATATCTTCCTGTATGTTCAATCTTTCTATGCAGCAGGTGCATAATTTACTTAGAAGCACTTACTGTCATTGACAAGGCCCAGCTATCCCTTAAAATCGTTGCGCTGGTAATCAGCTCATCTGAGCTATGACACTGTGAGGGAGAGGGTGGTGGGACCACCTGAAAGAAAAGGCTGGGGAAGGTATCCTGCTTGCAGGAAGTGTGCTTTCCCACTGCTATATTAAGCAATTTGGGTGCTGTCCACAGTCTCTGGAGCCAGCTCTCCCAGCACGCAGCTTGCATTTTCCACTGCTGCAACAGGAATTGCAGGATGGCCTGGCTCTGTCTCTGCTCTTCCCACCAGGAGCAGGAGCTTTTTGCCAAGAGCTCTGTCACAGGCGACTCTCAAGGGAGTCCACCAAAGATCATGAAACTGCCCACTACCTCCCCTCTGCTGCTCCCTGCTCCCTCGGCAGGGCTGTGTGCCAAGGAGAGCTGAGCCTGTAGCTGATTGATCTTTTGGTCTCATGCAAAGGACCCATCAGACTGGCAGGACCTCATAGCAGCACTGTGCGAGAGCCCCATGCAGTGCTCTCACAGCAAGAAAGACTTAGTAGAAAGACTGGGGAAGAGAAATGGAGGAGGGGAAAGAGTTACACGGGGAATTAGCAGGTAGAAAACTGAAGCTGGAAGGGATCGAAGCAATGTTATGGTCTGACAGTTTAATTATGGCCAGTGATTGGCAAATCCGTGTATGAAGGAGACAAAAACCTTTAACATAATTAATCCAATTTATTCAGATAGCAACCTGTCTCCGCCAGTGCTAGACATCAGACTTACGAGCGTGCATCTTTCTCTAGAACTCCATCTCAGAGTGTTTCAGCACTGACCACAGAGCTGCCAGTAGCTGCACTCCCTGCCGCAGATGGTGGCTTTGCCAGGGCTGGTGTCTGTTCATGACACTGCACAATACAAAAGAAGGGTGATATATATCACAGCCAGGCTATAGATCCTGAAGTCTTTGACTGCACTCAGAATTAAGTGCTTAAACACCCATGAAGAAGGGGACTTCCATTCTTCTCATACGTATGCTGAGTCCACTCCCTTGCAGGAAGATAACAACAATCTCCTGCAATATTCTAACTTGCAGTGGGCCAGATGTCAGCTCATGTGAAACAAGCTCATTGCACTGATGGTATTGAATTTTACCAGCTCCAGACCTAGTTCAAGATCTTTTGGGGGAGCTATTGCAGATTTGGGGACCATGCTATAGTATCCTTCTTTTTAAATTATTTTTAAAAGGGCTGACACAGTAATACTGCAGAGAAGTCAAGCCAACAATTTGCTCAGGACATGGCTAATACGGGATATTTAATTGGATATGAATGCTCCCTCTGGCATACTCTTTTCATGGAGTTTAATTTTGACCCCTACACAGTAATAACAAAAGAAATAATAAAATGCTGAACTCAACATTTAGAAACAGCTGCCTCCGCACCAAACCCTTGACTTTTTTTACCCTATGGCACCACAGTTACAAGAGGTTTTTTCTTTCTTAAGCAAATATTAACTGCACGTAATACTTACTCTTTCCCTTCCCTTCCTTAAAATAATGGGAAGGAGAGGGGGAAGGTGAAGACAGTTTCTATTAAGGATAAAGTGAGGGTTGCAAAAAGAAGAGCATTAATTGATTGATTTAATCAGAAAGTGACCTTAACTGCTCATCAGCTAAATCACCTACTGAATGGAATAATAATGATCAGGGCAAATGAGGATCCATAGTATTGCTTAATTAGTAAGTAATGGATCACAGAGGAAAGATATGACCATCAAAACTGCAGAATACAATATATACAGCATTAGTGTGTACATGTACACACACATACATAGCTCTAGTGATCATAGCTCTGATCTCTACGTATGTTAAGTGTGGTGGAGACTGTGGGGACAGGTAATATATTTTAGGAGGTCCACTAATATAGTCAGGAAAAACCAGACAAGCTTAGTATCCAAGGAAGCACAGGAGAACTGAAAGCTTCTGTGTTTTACATTCCATGGTAAAACATGTGTTTTCTCTGTGCACCTGTGCTACTTTGTGCTCAGTACAGCCAGTAATTTCAAATGGTTTTCAAGCCAGCCAAGGTCTAGGATAAACAGTTGAACTTGGTGGTAATTTCCACCACTCACATGAGGTTTAAATTGAATTTGAAGAAATTTTCTTAATAAATCCAATGAAATAAGCAAGTTATTACTGTCCTCAGTTTAAGAAAAGGAAACATATATATCACTGGATATAAGTATACTAGAGACAGGTGAAACATGCAGACAGCCAGGAACAAAGCCGGAACTGAGATTCAGAGGTGAGCTTATACTCCTTGAAGAATAAAAAGTAGTACTTGCTTAAACCCTCCATTAGAGCTTGATTCTGTCATACCTAGGATTTCAATTTTTTAAATGAAATTTCAAAATGCTTGCCATTTCAGCTAGCTCTACTCTAAAACACATGCTGTTTCTGATTCACCTTGTTTAATGTGTCAGGACACAGCACTGGAAGGGGGTTAACATATTCTCATTCTCTTTCTCTCTTTTGAAACCAGGAGATTGATGGCAATGCTTTGTTGCTGCTGAAAAGTGACATGATCATGAAATACCTGGGGCTGAAACTGGGACCTGCGCTGAAACTGTGTTACCACATCGATAAGCTCAAGCAAGCCAAGTTCTAACAATTTCTTGAACAACAATGGAATATGACCTAAATCTAAATGGAAAACTAAAGGTAACGTGTTGCCTTACAGAAATGCATTCATTTGCAGATTGCTTTTCCTTCTTTTTTAACAAGGACTTTGTCTTTTTTAACATTTGTGCATCGTCACCTTTTTTTAATCCAATGGGGTCTTTTGGGATGCTTTGTGTTACTAATTTGCCAAAAAGTATATAATTATAACAATTATTTTGTATCATTAATATTATGATTATAGTAAGTCCTATTTTTGTAATAAGAAGTGGAAAATCAAAACCAAACACAGCTATGGCATACACTGAGGACTGCTGGAAGACTAACCAAGGGTCCCACACTTGCCAAGGGTCCACCTTGGAGGAGTAACTGCTGACCTGCATCAGATGGGCTCCAGCTCCAACAACCACTGATGCTCAAGAGCTGGGAAAGTGAAGTGTTTGTTCACTTACTGTCTGATGGGAACTTCTCCATGTCTTGCACTATCTGGAAAACTTGAATTCTTCAATTAAAAAGAAAAAGAAAAAAAGAAAGTTAGAAAAAGAAAATAGGGGAAAAAGAGGGGTTTTGCTGCTAAAGTACTTTTTCCCACTAGAGGGAGCAGCCCTAATAGACTCGAGCCTGGCGCTCTGAAGCCATGGTGCTTTCTGTCTGATGAGCTTTGACCATCCTGATTCTGCCATCGAGCACATCGGTAAATACCAACAAGGAATCGCAGGCTCCCAGCAGGATAAGCCCGTCACCACTTACAGATAATTGATTCAAGAAAAACCCAAATGCAGAGAGTGTTTCTGACAGGATGTTTCCCATTACGCTGAAGAGGGGGTGGATGGCTCCCACGATGTCTGGCGCTCTCAGCTATCGGCTCCCTTCCGTGAGCCGTTCCTCTCTGGTATACAGTTTGTGGCACTCTAAGAAAAAGCAGAATTTCTGGGTCTGGTTTCGTTTGCATTTTAAAAAGCGAGGGAGCTGTGTGGGAGCACTCCCTGTGAGGAGCTGGCAATGCAGGGCACACCTCTGCACTTTGTGGTCAGGTCCAGGGTGGATACTGTAGGGTTGGTTTCCGACTGCGCTGTGCCTTTCAGCATGTAGCAGATGTGTCAGGCTTTCCCTCTCAAGTGGATCAAAAATAATGGTCTCACTCATATCTTAAAGGTACACACTGATATTCCACGTAGCCAAGGGGTAGAGGACATGTCTCAGGCTGAGGAAGCAATCAGTGGCATAGGTGTGCTCTCTTTTTCATCCTTCCGAAGGAGGACTACAAAGGGACACATCCATACAGTTTAAAACCTTAGTGTGACAAGGAGAGGTAGCAAGTGTTTGCAAGATGTGCAGGTTATTTTAGAGCTAGCCTCAACTGAATTAAGAAATGGGGTCCTGATAATAAGCAGGAGATCATCTGCCCCTGTTTATGTAGAACAGACCAAAAATACCTCATGGAATAAAATTCAACTTGATGCATGTTTCTAGACTAGAACTCCTACAAAAAGGTACCTGTTCAAGGCCTAATCCTGAAAATACTTCGTAATATGAGAAACCGTATTCCACAAGACTTTCACTAAACATGTGGGGACTACTCCCCCACATTAAAAAAGTTGTCTGCATATGTTTGCAGGATTGGATCTCTACAGGACTGACCAGCTTTCAGCAAATCCTTTTGGCACGCTGAAGCAACCTTAATAGGAATATCTGAACAAATGTATTAAATGAAAAGATGTATACTATCAAGTGAAGAAATATACCGAACCATAACTGTGCTGATGCTTGGAACGTAAAACCCACCTGCATCACTTTGTGTCTGTGGTGTAAAGAATGGAAATCTGTTTGGCTTTTTGTCTGAGGCAGAAGTGTCTTCACATCAACATCAAATCTGTACAGTACATTTTTCACTCTTAACACTTGTTTAAAAAAAAGGTTTTATTCCCCACAAAGATCCCCAAAATACGTACAAAAATTGCTGTATTAATAGTATTACCTGCAAAGAGTCCTCAATCTTTTTCTTTCATCCTCTTCCCTCTCCTCCCATAACTTTGAACTTAGTTAACCTCTCCTTTTTTGAAAAAGGTTATTTTAATTCCTCCACTTAAACCCCACCTTGCTGTAGCATATCAATAGGCAGATCTGGTTTGACTTTATCAGATGGCTTCAATGCTAGAAAATCCCACTTTGTCAAAATCAAAACTCTTCATAAAAGCATGTCACTTTCTAATGTAAAATTCTATTTAACTGAAACTACAGCTTTTGGTAATGTCAAAACATCATTTTGACATTTTGGGAATGGAACATTTTTGTTCCAAGAAGATTTTTGCATTTTATTGTATTTTCCCAGAGAATCTGTAAGCTCACATTTTGTTCTGAGAGTGGGAAAAAAACCAACCCAGAACTATGGAGTTTCCTGAGCAAGAATCCTTCCTATTCAGTTCAGCGTCTCACCCCTTCCCTCCACCTCCCCTACTTCAGGCATTACAACTGAGAGGGCTGATAATGCAAACACAGTATTTAAAGACCCCATGGTGGCAATGATGTTCATGCATTTAATATGCTGGAATAGTTTCCATGTACGTGTATCTGATGTACGCAGTCAGTGGTGCTATCTCATTTGCTATAACACTTGCAGGTACAACAGGACCTCGCTGGATGGTTTTGTTTTCTTTTTGTTTTTTTGCACTGAAAGGCAATTAGGACGCAAACATTACTGCAGGAATATTGCAACTGTAACTAATTTTTCTTTTTCAGTTCTTGTCAGAGAGGGTAGTTAAGCAGCTCTGCTGTGCCGAGGGTGTCAGGCCATTTCCTCAGAATAAGCACTAAAGAGCCAGAACATGCATGTCAGCTGCTTCTCCATTAACTGCTGCTTTAGACGTTGCTTATACAAATCACTTGCTATTCCCTTCGTAGCTCTCTCAGCTCTCTCGCTTCAGACTGCAGCCAACACAGTTGTATTTTTCAGCTGTTCCCAACAGGTGGGTGGATGTGCATACCCTTGCAAACAGTACATGTGCCTCTTTTCTACTCCTAGGCACTCACAGCTCACTCGAAAGGCACTTTGGTTGCTTCAGGCAGTTTCAAAACTTCATGAGCGTTCACCTAAAAAAAAAAAAAAAGCAAGCAGGCAAAGTCCAAGGATATGCAGAGAGCTCTTCCCTTGCATGAGTGATGGTTACAGCGCATCAGGAGCACAGGTTCCAGGAAGACCATCCTCTTGCATCTATTGTGGCTGACCAGCTCAGCTTCTGTCACAGGCAACCCATACCACCTTCTGTCCACCTGCTGTCATGTCCTCTTCTCCTTCACCAACAAATGCCTCCTTCCCCAGCCAGACCCAATTGAAATTCAAGAAATGCCTCTGGGAATGCCTCCATCTCTCCAAGTCCACTGTCTTACTCGGTAGGCTGAGGAGTGTGGTGGTCTTTGCAGTGTTAGCAGCTTTGCTCCACATGATTAACCTAGGCAGGCACTCTTGGGACTGGCATGTAAAGCGTCACTCTAGGCTGTTATTGCCCTTAAACTGATTGCTGAATTTCTATGGGTTGTTAGCAGTCTTCATGAGTTTCGCTTCTTTCCTTCTTAAAGAAAGGATGTCTGTGAGAGATTAAGTAGAACATTATCAGCAAAACCAGCAATAATCAGCAAAACAGTAAGAAAATGGCTAATGACGTTTTGGCATGAAAAGATATCTCTGTTGAACTAGTGGCAAGAGCACATACCATCCTCTGGTTCAACCAGCGCTGCTTGAGCAAGGCAGGATGAAAGGACAGCGTGGGAGCAGGTGTACGAATTTAGAGAGGGAGCAGCTCCAAAGCCTGGCCCCTACTCCAGCAGTAATGGATGGCCTTCCCTCCAGCCCTGGCACAGCCACCCCATGGCCCCTTCATGTCCAAAAGGTGCACCCTTCCTGGCTGTACCATTTGGCAGTCTAAGCAAGCTCAGGAAGCAATTTGTCAGCTCTTACCTCCCCAAAATATACACTAAACCCTTCAGTTAATTAGTTAGTGCCTTCTTTACCCCCACTCCTCCTCTGTGTCTCTCTCTTTTCCTTTCAGTGGCTTCTCTTTGGAAAAAGACATCAGGAACCTGTGGGTGACCCCTCCAGCTCACGCCATGGAGGAGCATTTCTAGGATCAGACTTCCACCAGAATGCAACTGGTCCTGCCTTGTCACTGGGGAGGGAGGCGAGAATTAAATGCCCTAATTTTATTAATTAGTATTAAATGCTTTTTGGTCATTCCACCTCTCTGAACTGCAGCCTCCCTCCCAAGAGGGAAGGTTTCTCCCAGTCAGGGCTGGTTGCTTGGCTCTTCCCTATGTGACAAGGAGGGAGGCAGAGGAGATGCCCAAAGGAGGTGCCCAAATGGGCTGCCCACCACTGGCTGGCCCAGCAGGGCGGCAGGTATGGTAGGAACAAAACCAGCCACTACCCTAATTTGAAACTGGTTTGGCTGTAGAGAGGCATTGTGCCTTGTGCCCAGGGTTTTGGTCCAGGGGATTTTGCTGTCAGTCGTTCATGGGTCACACCCCAGTGTTTCACAATGCACATTCAGCCTGTTGCTGTGCAGATTTTGATTCCAAATCCACCTTCTAGAGCTTGTGCTAGGGGATTGCTCTGCTGGCATGGGCTGCTTCCACATCAACAGGCTTGGGGCTGTTAGGGAACTAAGTCATTGAAAGCACTTTGGGAGCAAAAATTCAGGGAAATGGCAGGTCAGCAAGAGCCTCCCTCCCTTTCCAACCACTTTCATGTGCAGAACCTTACTGAGGCAGCTTCTGAACAGGACCCACACACCACTGCTCCCTGTCACCTGTGATTGAGTCATGTGGAGCCATTTGGATTTTCCTTCTCTCACCAAGAAATATGGTCCCAAATTCACACACTTTCACCAGAGAAAACAGGCAAGTTGCTGCACACATTGGCTCTGGTGCTTCGCAAGAGTTGCATGCTACTCTCTAATCCATGCTCCCTTCATGGGCAATTGGAAACTGATTCCCTCCAAAATCTAAAATTTCGCTTGAAAAATAATCACTTTTATTCACTGCCATGAGTTAAATATTATGGAAACATGTCTGCTAACAATTTACTTTGTGTAATTTGCACTAATGCTAATAAGCAACAGCTGCAACACTTCCTGTTGTAAATTCTATTGTGGTTGCAGTGGTATTATCACATCTGTACTTTGCAAATCTGATAGACTCTAGCAGAACTCGCACATTCTGGCCCCAGCTCCGGCAAATCCCCATGCCTCAGATGTACAGCTATGCAAATGTGGATTTACAGTCTCTGCCTCCCTTCGCTCCCAGAGCCTCCACTCCCCACCAGGTGCCTGGAGCTAGAGGGGTGGGTAGGGATGTGGTAGCCTGGAGGTCAGCCCATACACGCATGGCGTGGTTGGAGGGGATTGCTTTCAGCAGAGACATCACTGACTGGTCAGGTTTATTGCAGTTCAAGCAGACAGGTTTTGGTCAGAGGCTAAGTGCAGGAGAGATGTGATTTATTAAAGAAAAAGAAAGAAATACGAGTGTGCAATACATTGCCACCATAAGAGTTAAGCTGAAACCCAAGAATCTTTCAACTGTAATCTAAAGAAAAATGTTTCCCTCACTCAAGATGCTAAATAAAGCATGTTAGGCCAAACCCAGGTCCCACTGAGGTCTGCCTATTGAATTCATAAGACCAGGGCTTGGCTCGTAAACCAGGTCAAGCTTCAGCCACATCCCATAGTAACGAGAGCCTAACAAGCTATTTCACCCTCCCTTACAAAGAGCCGAGACAGCTGCTGCTGGCCAGCCCGCTCTCCCGTGCTCCCAGAAGAGCTGCTAGCTTCCTAGTAGAGAGCTCTTCCAGCTGCACCTCTACCTGATCCCAACACCTTCTCCAGTTAGCTTTGTGTTTTAGCTACGAGTTTCAGGAAGGGTGGTTTGGGTTTTCCACTTCGCAGAAAACCAAAGCCCATGCATTGAGGATTTCAGCCGTGCCACTAGTGACAAACTCACCTAGATTCGGACATGACTTCACTGGGACATTTCCACATGTTCCCGAGGCAAAGCCTTAGGTGGAATTTAAAACTAAAACTTTTCAAGATCAGTCCCAGTGACCCACAATTTTTGGCTCCTCCAGCATACACAGCACTTCATTATACTTCAAATGGTTGAGTCTCTTGGTAGTACCATAATCAGACAGAAATAGCCCACAGGACATCAGAAGAGATTCCTTCTCTGACTAGAGAGTCTTGTTCCTCTTGGTCTGTGTATGGGCAGCTGCCAAAAAGCAGCATCTGAGGCTGTATAGAAGAGCGTGTGAGCACGTGTGCTGCTCAGAGAGGCTTGCTTGGCTGCACAGACAGGCTGTGAAATGGGAGAAATAAGTGCAGGGCAGAGCAGCTAGGAAGGGTGGGCTCAAAAATGGGCAAGTCCCAAGCTTCATTGGGGTTCTCATGGAGTTTGTGCCATGTCTCAGGGATCTTATTGAGCTTTCCCTGCATAGAGCAGTATGTCTTTATCACTCAGAGTTTTCCCTTGGTGTTATACAAAACTGAGATCGTGCTGCCCTTTTCTTTTTGAACATGAAATGCAGGCACCTGATTTCTTATTGTCAGAGATCTATAAAAGAGTGGGAAACGGGAAAAACCTGAAGTCTAAGTACAGGAATAAGCACATTTCAGAGCGCAGCATTTTCACAGCTTTCAGTGTCTTTCAGCTGAAACATAGGAAAAGGGGAGAAAAACGGCTTCAGAATCTCAGTGAATCCGAGCCAGTGAAAGACGAGTGAT